CTAAGTTTCAATATATATTAAAACTTACATGATTTCAACCTGTGCCACTGATCTCTGATCGAGTAATACACTTTATCATTCACATATTCAAATAAATTTGTCATTTTACAACCGTATAACTCTAAAAATAAAAAAAAGTCACAATTTTTATATCGACTACGAGATGAAAGACTAATCAGTAATGACAAACTTTTTTTAAATTTGGATATACATATGTACATCTAATTTTAAGTTTAATTTAATAATAATTAATAATGTTATTTTTTAGTTAGTACCTGTAACTTGCACTCATTGTATAGACTTTTCATACAGGTCAACATGTAAGTATACTGGGTCCCATTAGGTTTTATAGACATTTTTGGATAATTTTTATATTATTGCAACTTCGTTGGTTTTATCTTGACTAATTATGTTATATTTATCGTAAACTAGTATAAAAATAATATATACTACAATTAATGTAACTATGTTTCGTTATGGAAGTGAGAGCCTGGTAATCCGTAAAAGAGGTAATCTGTATTTATATTTCCCAAGTTGTACCTACCTTTATGATGAGAGAAATATATATATATATATATAAACAACAAATGTTTGTTTTTAGCTTTTTGCAATTGCACATAAAATAATCCTGTATTTTATACTACAAACGATCTCAGTGTGAGGATTAAATAATTTTAATAATTATCCTATCAGATACACTAATCTCGATAACAGCGTAGACCACGTCTATTAAAGGAGCTGCCATTGACATGGGTTTTTAAAAGAATTATGTATCCACACACACACCCACACACTACGGCTAACTTAGGTGTATTAAATTTTCTCGTTCGATAACCACAACAATTATTTCAATCCTTCTGAGATAATTAATGTGCGATAGATGTTTTTAGAATATTAAATAACACACCTATTCATTAATAACGGTAGTACATATATTTTAAAACGCATCGTACAATGTTGAACATCCCTGACTGATAAAGAACGTATCAAATGTCTCATAGATAACATCGATAAATAGAATTCTTTAAATAAAGTGGCATTGCAAAGAAGCACGTGGATAAGCGAAGGGATTAGATAAGTTTAAACACAGATATCCACATATTGTTATTGTTGTAGGTGAAGCACCTTTACAATGGGATACGTTTCGCAGATTTACAACCTTCATCTTATCTAGGCACGTAACTAAACTTAATCGTAGTTTCACGCAGACGACTAAGTTTAGTTACTTAAGTGCAAAATAATATCAATGACTCTCATTGCACTAATTACAGTACAGTTTGTCCCAATAGTATAGGACCATGTGCAATTTAATTCAACAGTAGTTCATAGTTTTAAGGCATATACGTACATTTTAATTATTAAATCGATATATTCAGTTGTCAACATAGTGTAGGTACCTCTTTTAGATGTTATTTGAAAGTGACTCCAATTTACATTTGAACGAACGGAAGTAACGGTTCGAAACGGATATGCCGTGAACATTTTCCAGCTTTATGAGCAAATTTAATTTGTACCTACATATCAGTTTTGGGTGATTAAGTAACATCAATTGTTATTATTTTTACTAAATATTTACAGTAATTTTTTCTACTTAGTATTTAACATAATACGAATTTTGGAAATAACCATGTCTGTTCACTATCTTACAGGTTCATAGTATACAAAATACTATTTCATTCATTTTTAGTTTATTACCAATAAATATTTGACATGTCAGAATTTACGAAATTAAACTTTGAAACAGTCTGTTAGAAAATATTTTCTTTTTTCAATTGCTACTAGTTGCTATTGGTCGTAGACATTGTGATACCTACATTTATTATAGTATGTATTCTTAAATAAATGATTCTTTTTATACAATAAATATAATTAGGTACGTTCTATTGCTTACGGTGACAAGAAAACATTTTTTAACTGCATATTTAAAAAACGATATTTACCACTGCTAAACCAGTTACCTACTGGTTTAGCAGTGGTAAATATAGCTTTATATATTTATGTGTTTCGTCTATAGATATAGAATATTTCAATTTCATTTGCAATAAAATTCTTTGAAATTATATCAATTGAAAACTCATCGAAATCTCCAAAAAAAGAAATATTATGAAGAGTAGTTTTGCCAAAACCTGCCATGAAGTACAAATGCGATAAATAACCGGATTATTGTAAGAACAAAATACTTTTAATTAGACTGCTCAGATGGTTAGAGATTTTTAACTATTTGTATTAGAAGGTGGTTTCATTTTTATTTATTTATCGTGATAGAATTAGAAAACGAATAATAATCACGTTTTCAAAGAAAGAACATTTAATTTGAACTCTTTAAGAAAAGCATATTAATCCTAAAGAAAAAGTTGATAATGACGAATGAGGAATATTTATTAATTTAATTGTAACAAATAGTTATTTAGTATAGGTATATAAATTTGACATAATGAAAAAAAATCTATATTCAATTATTATTTTCATATAAATTCGTGGTTTTTAATTCGACTGTATATGTTTATGTTTAATTTTCATCAATAGATAAATCCATAACTGTTCTTACAAGGTACTTTTCCACCACACCACCAATCACACGTCACTTTTCTATAGGAAATTTATTACAACATCGGTACGTTCAGTGGTTGCTTAGATTCTTTCATATCGTGTAAACATAGAATAATAAAATAATAACTGTGATAGAATTAAAAGATATTACATAAAACTAGTACTGTCATAAACATGATTACCGTTAGGAGTATTCAGAGTTCATACACCCTATTATAATTAGTAGAGGGGATTATTAGCATTTATAACCCAAACAAAATTGTAATAAATAGTATGAATTTTAAGTTCAACTTTTGTGGTATAGTGTTACCACAATTTCACTAATGACATTTCATGTAGGTACTCGGAAAACAAACTGTCAGAGGATTTTATGTAGAGCTGTGGTAGAACCAAAAAAAACTTGAAAATGCAAGACTGTATGAAGTTTTCTTTGAAGTATTCTTTTTAATTTTGTAAAATATTATCTGCTTGTTTTTCTAGAAACAATCGAAGACTATTATTTTTCATTGCTCATGCAAACACAATAATATAACTTGGACCACACATAGTGCTAAGAAATTTATAACATAGTTATAACCGTAATAACTTAAGTAGAGCAATAATAAATTAAAATGTATAATGATGATTAGGTAGGTAGTTCTTAATTCTTAAATTGAATGGTGGCACAAACTATCGTTACGATGATTATAACAAGTTGGTATCGCAACTTCTACGTTATTTATCAGTATCAAAGTGTGTTTTCTATTTGTCTTATTGACATTGGTGCAAGTACGATAATTCCAGTTCTAACCAATCTAGTAGATCATTCAGTTCAATCGAATTTACTGTTATGAATACAAGTTTCAACTGGATTGTGGTAGATTCAAGATTTTGTAGGTCGCTCATATCTAAATATACAAAAACCTTATATGCGGCGAGGTAACACTAACAAAAATATTTTTTCTAAAACATTAGTTATAGGAATTGTCGGCATGCAAAACAAGCAACATAAGATAGGTGCATCAGTGTTAGTATTTGTGGAGACGTACTAAAAGCTTATTTCTACATGAATCTGCGGCAAGCTTATGGAATACTGTTTATTTTATGGATGTATGTAGGTTAGTTTATGTAGCTTATGAGTCATTCCGGTGCGTCATTAATCCTTTTCAGAACTAGTATAAGAGTAAATCGATCTTATAGAGCCACATATGGATGGACATCAAAGAGTAATGCGAAAAACAAGGTGAAATAAATTAAAACAAAATGTTAAATGGATCACGAATGTATTGTTAATACACCAAAAGCGTACACATAATCTTGCATCTACAGTGCATATAAATATCATAGCTTCATGTTTACTTGTGACGTTCGAGCCGTAATTGTTGATGCTGGTGTTTGCGAAATCATCACTAAACCTTTTATAACCGTCAGACGGCGACGACGGGCTCCTCATAGAACCCATTTTTACGAACTGAATTTTGACATTACTTTATTTAATTTGACAATACATTTGCATAAAGTTGCGTTCGTAGATATGTAACCATAGACATTTATTAGTGCACATATCTTATGACCTACTTTTTAGCCATTATCTGGCTTTAATATTTTTCTTGTACATGTCAGAAAACAAAAATCAAATTACATAATTAAAATATAAAGTAGTAATTCCCCAATTTTGAACAAGATCAGATTAGAAAAAAATATGAGTTTTTATATTTTCAGAAAGAAAAGGATTGAATATTTGTAGTCAATTATTGATGTTCCTTTTAATAAAAAAAACAAATTTGAATTAATTAATGTAATGTTTGGCAGGTTAGAGAATTGCAACAATATTCTGACAAAAGACCAATAGTCAATAGTAGTCAAAATCAATTTTTTTTTGTTTAAAAGTTACCATAGACAAACTTCTCCTCAAGAATTTCTTTTCTTTGATCCCGATTGGAATGTGAGTTGATATTATTTCTGATGAAAATAAATCCAAATGAATACATCGGTTTTCAATTAATTTTTGTGCATTTTACGTAAGGAATAAAAAGAGTGTATTTCAAACAAGTGACTGTGTATTGTATTTCTGTTTTAACTGTAAGAAAATCCTTTAAACATTAGTGTTTAGTTTTGACGTTCACTAAGTGATAGTGTTCAGTTGTGATTTCTACTGTTGTGTGTTAATTACACAATTATTACTTTTCGTATTGTGCTTATGGTCATCAACCAACACCAGCGGATTATCTCGATCCTCGTTTGCTAAGAATTCACTCAAACATAAACCTAACCTCAAATTGGTTGGTAGTCAGGTGGCGAGTTTGTTTTAAGTTTTGTTCTCTGCTTGCAGAACATAAATGGCTCCACCACAGCCCAAGGCGGCGGCTAAGCCCGCTGCAGCGCCTGCGGGCGGCGTATCTAAGGCCAAGGTTGGCAAGCCTAGGAACTACGACCTGGGAAACGGAGTCGTACGCTTTTCGAAGTCCAAGATGTTCCACAAGAAGGTAATCTTGAATTTTATTGTTTCTTTGTAGAAAACGCAAGATTTTAGATTTATATTCGCCCAAAATCTTGCGTTTTCTATAATAATATATTTTTACCGATTTTTCAAAGGTTGAGCAATGATGACTTTAAAAGTAGTAAGTGCTACTACTTATTTTTATGATGACTACGAATCTGGTAGTGAATTGAGTTTTCATCAGTTACAGTTATCATATATAACTAATTAAGATGTTTAAAAAAGCTTTTGGTATAAGCCTATTTATGTTATCCCATTTTCAAATCACCTAACCAATGTGCTCAGCATTGCACTAACTAGAGAGACAATATAAAATTTCTTTAGTTTTTTCAATACCTAATTAAATAGTTTACCAATCCATCAACCCACAATCTATTCAATATTTATAGATGAACCTATAAATTCTAGAAAATAACTAGAAACTAGTCTAAGTAACTAGAAAACTGAGATTCCAACTAGTAATCAGAAATTGTTAAAACCTTAATTTTTTTTCAGGCTAAGTACAGGTTTGTGGGCAAAAAGAACCCTAAACCTGAGAAACCCAAAAAGCCTTCAATTGCTGTGAAGCAAATTGGTGGTGAGAAGAATGGAGGAACTCGTACTGTGTTGCTGCGTCGTAGAAGATCTTTCTACCCTACTCAGGACAAGTAAGTGCTAAAGTATATATAGCTCTGTTTATTTATAAGAAATTGAATGTTCTCGATAACTGATCATTCTTAATGAATGAAATTAAAATGAAAAAGAAATTCAAAACGTTTATTTCACTTAAAACACAGTGAAGTGAAGAATAGAGAGGAGGCCTATGCCCAGCAGTGGTCTATTAAAGGTTGTAATTATGGTTATGATGAAGAAAAAAAGAAACTGAAATCTCTCTGAAAAGGCCTACATATGACAGGATCACATAACTGTAAAAATGCATCACATTTGACCATTTAAGTTTTATATTGTACATCCACCATCTGTTCCCGTCTGGGGTACATAGAGACAATAGCATTTGCTACAATCCTGACACACCTTTTGCCTCTCCTATATTCATCAGTCTTTTCAGTCATATATTATACATTTAAAACACTTGCCAGTTGCTAGACCCTTCTTCAGTATACTAATAATGCTATGTATGTAATCAGTATGCTGTTGTGGTCAGTATGTCTTTCGGGGTTTATCCATGGTAACGATTGACTGCACAGATGGTGTAGTGGTTTAAGTGTTATGGTTCCGATCCCCACATGGAACGACACTTTGTGCTATCCACAAATTATTGTTCTGAGTCTGGGTGTTCTTTGTGTCTGTTTCATGCATGTTTGTAAAGTCCCCCGTGACACAGGATGTATTCCTAACGCTGGAGTTGTCTTTTAAAAAAAAATAACTTACTCCACATTCTTAAACTATCAAGATTTTTTTTTCTCTTTTCTCATTACTATATCTTTCGACCAGATTCTTTGTCTAGAGTCACTCTAGACATCTGTAAATGCTTTCTGTTTTCCAATGTCCAACTTGGTGCTAATACTCCCTCGTGAACCGTCAGATGAGTATTTAATGACCTGTTCTTACTTTTCATGAAAAAAAGCAGGACACCATTTACAGACTTTCTTTTATTGAAGCTATTTTAATGATGACCTATTCCTACTTTTCATGGAAAAAAAGCAGAACACCAATTACAGAGTTTCTTTTATTGAAGCTGTTTTAAAAATTAATAGGATCCGCTCCCGCCCGCATCACAAGACTTTCAGCAAGCACGTGCGCAGGATTAGGCCTACACTTACTCCTGGCACCATCTGCATCTTGCTCGCTGGTCGCCACGCTGGTAAACGCGTTGTACTCGTCGGAGTCCTGCCCAGTGGCTTACTTCTTATCACCGGACCCTTCGCTGTATGTATTTTTACTATTTTTTGTTATGCTATAGGAATTAAGTACTCCAACTGGTTTTAAATTAACATTCTACTAAACTACTATGTTATGGGTGATTTAATATATATGAAAGGTTGATGGTAACATATAATAAGGTTTTGTAAAGGTTTATGTCTATTTAATATCTGTTAAAAAATGTTGTCCATGTAAACTATTCTAAACTGCCAGTCTTGCATAATTGTATGCGTCTATGTGATAATAATGTGGTATAAATAAATAAATAAAAATTATATTCTACTATTCTCACCGAGTAAATTATTAATAACAATATAAATAAATAAAAACAACAACTAATATTATCACTCCATATTCTGGTTAAATTGTTATGGCAGAGTAAAGTTTTAAGCTACTTATCTAAAGCCCATATAGTAATCAATTATCATTATAGCTCATTAAATGATATATTTTAGTTTAAAAAGTGTATTTGGTGACCAAAAAATTTTTCGTGCGGAAATCCCCTCGGATACCACCTGTCGGTGGCATGTCGGACACGAACCGACTAAAACCGCACGCCTTCGCCGGGTACTAATAGCCGGGGAACCAGGTATACCCTAGAAAGGAAGGCCCTGGTGACCAAAAAATACCTATGTTTTATCTAGTTAGATATGCCTCTTATACATAAATTGTTTGTTCCATAAGTACCATTCTTAGTGTTATATTTGCCTATAAAAGAAAATCAGTTCAGACAAGAGGTTTGAAATGTTCTTCAAAAGTGACTTCCACATACGGTGAAATGAAGACACTAAAGTATGGAGTAATTACTAATCCTGTATCGCGACACTAACAATTCTCTCACTGATTAACATACATACAACTTCCTAACATTAACTGTTGCGCTGTGGCCTGCCAGGCATGATCACCTCGCCTGGTCGGAGGTTCCTCCCTTCGTGTTGGAGGAACATGACTCCTGTTCCCTAACAATGGCAAACTATGAAGTCAATAATCCAACAAGAAATGATCTTTTTACTGCTGTAGATTACAATTTCATAATAAAAAAAATATAATTTGATTTCAGTTCAACTCGTGCCCCTTAAGACGCATTCCTCAGCACTATGTCATTGGCACATCAACCAAGTTGGACCTTGGAGACTTCAAGCTGCCAGAACACCTTAATGATGAGTACTTTAAAAAGAACAAGAAGAGTGTCAAACGCAGCGTTAAGCGCAAGCAGGGTGAAGACATCTTTGCCTCAAAGAAAGAGGTATCTACTGCTATAATTTATATTGCTCTTACTGAATCTGACAATATAAGAGAGTAGTCATTATCAAGCAGAACCTGTCATGAAAGTGTCATGTCATGTTCGAAATTTTGAAATATGAGAAATTGGTCATATTTTCTGTATTTTTAAATTCATTGCCTTCTGTATTAGTTATAAGTTTTAATCGTGGATACCATACATTCAAGCATGCTTTTAGACCAACGTTAAAAGTCAACATCTTGTTCCAGAAATACGTGCCGTCGGAGCAGCGCAAGACTGACCAGAAGACAGTAGATGACCTGATTGTGAAAGCAATCGGTAAGCGCGCCGACAAGAAGACGTTGCGAGGCTACCTCAAATCCGCCTTCGGTCTGCGCTCTAGCCAGTTTCCACACAGGATGACATTCTAGATATAAGGCACAATAAACATCTGTGACTAACCAATAAAGTTTTATTGCTTAATTTTTTCCCAGTGAGTCACAAAAAATGTATTATAACTACTGCAACTACTTCTGAAAGGGCCATTATTAACAGAAAATCAAAGTTGGTTTGTACAAATTGTAAATTTACATTGATTACTTGCGTTATCGGAAAAAAAATATCACATTTATGTTATTTAAACTTGTTAGCTGGTTGGTGTTGTCTAGGTCGCACAGGCACCGTGTTTCGCGATCTCTGACCGTGACGCTCGCGCCACTCTGCCTCTAGTCGCGCGTATACCCCACCCGCTGTAATCGGCATAAAGTAACAATGAATTCAATATTCAGACAATACAACACACTTTTTTACATTTATTAGAATTAAAAATTATTTTCGTGTTAGCCCATTTATCGAGGAAGGCTATATAACATCACGCAACGACCAATAGGAGCAGAGTATCAATGAAAAACATCTAGTTTCAAACTAAGCAGAGCTAGTACTATGAAAACTGATAAAATACTTATACTTTTTTACTTATTATACATAGAAAACACCCAAATTCCGTAACAAATATTTGTAGATCCTACAAACATTTGTTCCGACCCGGGAATCGAACTCGAGACCTCAGCACAGCAGTCGCATACTCTACCACTGCACTACCGAATGTAGCATAAAACGGGGAAAATTTACTCCTCTGATAGCTACATAATATATGATGTGTGTACACGAGCCAAGCGTATACTTTTAGGCACTAATTATACGTTCCACTCATATCACTCTAGGAGCCACTTTCATTGTCGGGTGACGTACAAATTACCTATCTGACTAAGATTATTCTAATCCTGTATGATCTTCGGCCACATACTATTAATACTCTGCATATAAGACATATAAGATACACTAACCGGGACTAGTCTTCGCTTTATTCTGCTGCATTTGAGCAGTTCGCGCAAGTGCGATGCGCATTTGTCGCGAAGCGCGCTCTTCAAATCTTCGCTGTCCGTCTTGATTGCTACGAGCTGAGAGACACGAAATCCACTGACGACCCACAACACGAGTTCGTCTAAAATAACAATAATGGCAACTCATGCAATATTATTATATAAATACTGATACAATTTGCATGTTAACATTAGTGTAAAAATACTTGGTTGCCGGGTGTGAGTGCGAGTGTCTCCTAGCTGCTCTGTTCATCGGTCGCGGCGCAGATTCCTCATCGCTCCTGGCACTAGCAGAACTCTGTTCGCTATCGTCCGAAGAACTGGACTGCTCTCCTCCTGACTCTCCGGCCGAATCGCCACCGCCAGGGGCGCCTGTCTGCACAACCGTATTTGTTATTTTGTTCTAATAGTATACAAATGAATCTAATAGTATGCATATCATTTGAATGTTTTAAAATTATAAACAACGCTTGTTTTCTACTGACTGATTTTTCATTGAGAACCTATTTAAATTTTTTTACTAGATAGATATATAAACTAGTCTACTACGAAAATTAATGTGCCGCTAAAATTTTTTTTCGCACCTATACAATAATAAAATAATATTCAATGGGTAATTAATTAGTCTTCGTCTTATTTGAAAGCTTATTCAGCATTTTTTTTAAATAAAAATTAAATGACATGAAGCAAAGTATCTACTTTTAATGTAATATTTACAATGATAATGTGGACCTATGACAACATATAAATAGACAACAACATCAAACCTAATGTGCATTCACAACTTTTTGCTATAGGCAAGTTTGAATGTTTTTTACTCATTTAATGGTCTACGTGCTTTAGCTACTGTGAGTTCTACTAGCTCTCTACGCTCTTTCTACTACTCTATAGCTACTGAGTTTTTTTTTGTTAATATATAAAATGTCCCGAAGTCCAGGCCTGCGTATTGGGGTTTTTGCACTCCGAGACTTACCTTGGCTCTCGGAACTTCATCTTTGATTGGAGGCTTGGGAATAGGTTTGATCTCCCTCTCCCTCTCGAGGGTGACCGCAGAGCCACTGGAGCAGTTCCCCGCAAGAGATTGAGTGGACACCTGAGTCGGGCCTAAAGCGGGCGAGCCGGGCCGGACGGCCGCTGCGCATATGGAATGTATGTGTACGTGTGGGTATGAAATGTATTTTCTAAAAATGTTAGCCTTTATGATTGAGCTTTGAAATGTGTCAACGTATTCATTTGTTCATGTTAGTATTTTACTGAGTCAACTTGTTTGATTTCATTACCTACTCTCTAAATTTCTAGGGAAATAATCTAAATTGCTTAGTTTCCCTAAGAATTTACATGGGATCAAAATTCGGTGTCCGTTGAGTAAACTATGGAGTTGTGTATTTACAATGTACCAATTTAGTAAGATGATCTTTGCAACCTAAGTGTCATCATGATCGCTAAGTACCTGCTTAGTTTTAGTCATATTAGATCCTCACCAATGAAATTGTTCATATTCAATATTAGTTACTGTAAGTATCGATATTTTTTACTACAGTATTCGAAATACTGATTCAAGTTATTTATTATATAGCAATTCAGACCTTTAAAAAATAATTTGTTCTCCCTTAAAAATACCAGAAATAGAAATAAAATTGTAGTACCATGGAGTGTAGTGGCAAGAAGAACCATCTCATATGGAGAGAAGTTGAAAAAAGGGTCCAGCTGTATACTGAAAATGGAGGTCGCGGGCGTACGAAAAATGACGATATGAACTTGGCTCTTGTAGACGGAGTGAAGTGTGCCATGTTAAAATATTAGGGGTTAGAGAATGAATTTGCCGATTTGTACAAAAAAATTGAAACTAGTTTTTTTCTAAGATGTAAGATATTTATTTAATCAAAATATTTACCCTCATTATCTATACATTGTCGCCATCTAAACGGAAGTTCAATTATGTCTTTACGATAGAACACTAGGATCTAGATTCGACAAACTGTGTGAAAGCATTTTGCACCTACTGCCTAATGGGAAGAATTTTTTTATCGCGTAGAAAATTGACCAAATCACGAAAAAATGGTAGTCCGTTGGAGCAAAGTCTGGCGAGTAATGACTGGTGGTTTCTAATTGCAGCTCATTTAGAGTTACAACGGTTTCTCGTGCAGTGTGAGGTCTTGCGTTATAGAGCAATAATGGTGAAGATTGATTCACGAGTCGGGGCTGTTTCACTGCCAGTAAACATCTGCTGTTATTGCCTGACCTAAGAAAGCTATCGTGAATAACACCATGAAGAGACCACCGAACAGTTACCATTACCTTTTTATTGGTAAGCTTTGCTTTAGGACACTGTTACGACGTTTGCCCTGGGGTCAACCATTGCATTTTTCGCTTAGATACGGTTATCGTAAACAATCCACTTTTGTCACGTAACAATTTGATAATAAAGGAACACGAATTTCTTTCATCAGATCAGTCAAATCATGAGGCATCCATTTTTCATATTTTTGTATCTTATTGATTTGATGCAAATGAGTCAATTTTTTTTCTAAAAAAGAAATCCCGCATTAGGAATATATCCTGTGTCGCGGAATCGCGGGGGACTTTACAAACATACATGACACGGACACAAATAACACCCAGACTCAAGAACAACAGAACAACAATTTGTAAATCACACAAAGTGTTCCCATGTAGGGATCGGACCCACAACACTCAGCGTAGTAGTAAGCGGCGTGGCGACCGCTTAAACCACTATGCCATCCGTGCAGTCGAATCTATATTGTAGGTAGGGTAACGTTAAACCATGCCGCAACCTGAGTAGTTTGATTCGGATCGGCTTCCACAATCTCCTTCAATTTAGCTTTATTCACCTGTGTCTTCAATTCGAAGTTTCCATTACGAGAGCGTTTAAACCAAAAAACGCACTATGCGTTCTTTAGCAGTCTCCTCTCCAAACGCAGCGTTGATATTGCGAGCCGTTTCTGCCGCGTTAGTTCCGCGTCGGAACTCGTATTCAAAAATGACTAGGATTTCCATCTTTGACGTCTAAGCTGAATAAAAAAAACAAATGAAAGTCGAAAATTGAATGTTGCATATTTTTTAAAAGAAGAACATCATATTTATCAAGTGAAAGAAGTTTCACAGGAAAATCTTACACCATGAAGGTTTTATGTCAATTCAAAGTATCTGTTACTATACAACGGCAATTTCATACTTTAACCCCTATTATTATAATATTTTTATTATTTGAAAGTTATTACACGTTTATTAATCGTCTTTAAAACTCATTGACTATTTTTGCAGTCTAGTACACGCAGTTATTGGACGCGTTTTTACTGATACTTCATACACAGACATGGTTCTCCTTGCCTCTACCCTCAATACACTAAAGTATTTCTTTTAATCTGTTTCTGTGATCATAAACAAAAAAGAACTGAGACTGAACAAGATTGATGAAAATTATCTTTATGAAATATAGGTAAATCCTTCTGTTGTGGGTTCATCGATTTCGGTCCCACCGAATTGTCTAGCAAAGGCGTCAATAAAATCAATTAATTTAATAAATATGTCATACTTTAAAAAATAATTATTTTAATCTGGTTTGTATAAGAACAACTTTGTAGATAAGGACCTTATATTAATTTTGGCAGCCTAATAGCTTATTTACAGCTTTATTCTCTATTCTTTATTCTCTCTATTATGGTTGATACTATGACGTGGATAACATTTTCAACACAGGAATAAACACACTTGAGATTTTGGATAAACAGATTTAAATTAATAAAGGTGCACGAAAGTAATGTACCTATGTCTTTTTGGTATACGAGCGTATTTGATTACAGATAAATCAGTAGGTATTTGAAGGCGAACCTATGTATTTTTACTACGGGTACCTAATAACTAATAAGAACCTTGCATTTATGTTTACACAGTCTCTGCTCTGTGTAAATACATTTACATCTTGCGGTACCTACAGGGATGGCAGAGGGGCCAGGGTGAAGCAATTTAATTGATTGTGTTACGGATACGAGAAATGTCTACATTCGAAATAACAAGTGAATAAAAACAAGATATTATAAAAATACTATACCTCGTTCAATAAAAACTTAAAATATGTAAGTTTAAAATATCCAGTGAAAATATTTAAAAATCCTTGTGTAAATGTTTAAGAAACTTGTGAAATTTTGTGTAAACAATATTTAACTACTATAATTCTTACATATTGAGTAAGAGGGACTAACGTGGCATTGGATCTTTGATCCATTTGGTGATACGATGCAATACTGTGCTACTCACTCACTAGAGATTAGACTTTCCATACCAATGTTAAAAAGAGAATTCGAATTAGTGAAGTCGAAAGTAGATTAGATTTTGAAATTTTGTAAAGGTTAATGTTTTATTTCACGTCACCGTACCACCTTGACGATAGTTCTACATTTACACGAGCAATGTGCGAGTCTCACGGTTGAACTTGTTGTTGCTGGTGTAAAGTTTGCCGAGCAGGCCGAGCGGCGGGCGCGGCGGTACTAGCTGTATGCCTTCCCACCAGAACACCTCCTTGCAGTGAAGCCGGCCACTGGCCTCCTCACCAGATTCTGAGGTGAAATAAAAAAGCTGATGTAGGAAATTAAATTAATTGGTGTCTGTTCTCCTCAGGGCTGGACATACAAGGGTTGAAGTTGCAACCACTAGTTCTCCAGCATCAAGTATGTAAAATATTAGTAAGTATAATCTTTGTTCTATACAGTGTAGGTATCAATTTTTGTAACTAAGTCAATCAAATAGAAATACCTCTACCAACGAGTCTTGTGAGGCGTTCAGGAAACATGAGTTGAGGTGGCCTCATTGCGATTATATCACGGAACTTGTTGTAGATCTCCATGACCGAGGCATCGGTCTGCAACTGTTCATCTGGCACGTGCTCTCGGAACTGACAACCCTATAGTAATGAAAAGCTTGAGCTTGCATATATACTCTTGTGTCAGAATTTTCTAGAAAAAGAGCATATTCGTTATACTATGGATACTGAGAATTATGACAGTATAAAAGGATATTGAATAATATTCGTATCGCACAAAGGCACACTTTAAAAAAACCGACAGAGATAGCCAAGCCGCATAGTGCATAACGCATTTTCCTTGCATGTTTATACCACTTACTTACTACCCTTATTTGTGGCGCATAACTAAACTCAACTTCAAGGAACATCGTCTATTTTCGAAGTAATCAAGAAGTTGGGTTCTTTTAAAGAACGTAGGTTAACAAAGGTTCGTTTAATTGCAATCGGCTTCCAAAAAACACAGTCAATAACATTTGGATGTCAACATATTCGATCCCAAATTTCGTGTGGGTACTTAGTTTATATGAGATTTAAAACAAAAAAAAAACCGAATTGGATATAAACACTTACAGTATTCCTGGTGACTGATTCAAAACGGTACGCTCTCTCACCACAACAAGGGTATCGACCTGCTGGAAGCGAGGGCTTTCCATCTAAAGTAAACATGTGGGGCGGCTGCTCATGGTGGGAACACCATTCCATCTGAAAACGAGGTTTGACGTCACCATCTGTTAAAGTTTTTGAGTTCTCGCTTTCCCTTGTATGACCTTGACGTGACAGTTTTATGTTTCAATGTCATAGGGAAACACTATCTTACAATATTCCAGGAATAAATTCATATTACCCATAATTAAAATCAGTTCAGTCCTCCCCCCCCCCCCCCCCCCCCCCCCGCCATCCCAATTACGTATTTGCTGCTACGCGTTGAATAGCAGAAAATATATATAAATAAACATATATATAAATGTTGTTAGTTTGTGTCAAAAATTTAAAATGTTCTACACCTATTAAGCTTAAATTTGACACGATATACAACACGCTTCAGATATGGTTTTTATCTATTTTTTGCTACCTTACTGAAAAAATCTTACTACCTGATGTTGATTTTGGATTTTGCAGGTAGTCCAATCCTAATCCTATGCACTGATCACAAGATCCGCCAAATGCTATTTTCAATTAAAGAAATTAACTTACTTTTTATTAATTTTAAAGTAAAGATTATAAAGTACCTGATAAACCGGAAAGTAGCTTTCGCAGAGCTGACACTTTAAAAAATGGCAGTCGGCCCACAATCGCCAGTACACACGGCGCCATGATCGCAATTCGCCATACAACCACGTTATATATTCGTTCAAGCTCCAAGTTTGGTCTCTAAAATACACTCATATTCGATTTGATTTTGGCTATATTATACACTTCATAACTTCTTGTAAATACAGGGATACTGCATTTCGGGCTTCCAGGTCATACAAAGCAGCATGAAATGAACTAATGTTTCTATAGATATTAATATACTTACCTACTTAAAACAAAACAAGTATATCGATGTGGACAAGTAATTTTTTAAGGCATTGAGACTTTGATTACAGTTCCGTTTGACGATCTAAGGTTCAAACTTGATAAAAGAGGGCACAAAAAAAGTGTGCATTGAATACCAACTCCAGCATAACCAGCTTACTTGGTGTGCGTCGAGATGACATTTCCTCGTCGATCAATTCTCATGCTAGCTGGTTGACAAGGCACCTGCTCTGCGATATGACGCCCCAATAACTTATAACATCTGCGTAAAGATCAACTTTTCAATTACATCGTTATAAGAATTGATAGAGTAAAAATAGATAATTATACCTTGATCTTCTTAGGATATTGTTAATTCTATGCAGCTGCTAAATATGCTAAAGGACATTTCTAACGACGAATTAAATACCTACTAAAAGACTACTAAGAGAAAGAAAACTTTTATAATAGCGAGAAATTAACTCACCTTCACATTTATAATAAAGTATGGCTGTGAAAAGGCATTGTAACTTTCAATAGTTTCTTACTTGTTGCATTTAAAGAGCGTGGAGAGTGTCGAGTAGTGTCCTCTGAGGGTTTCCGGCACTAATTCCGCCAAGGATAAAATCATCTTGCAAAAAAGACGAGACTGGATTTTGTCCTTGCGATCTTTGATTGCTTCTAACTCCACATTCGTGTACATGGCAGCCAGTCTACATTGATAGAAGTAAACATTTCCATAAGGTTAAGGCAGAGTTAGAAAAGAAATTACATTAAACACAAGTAGATGCAGTAGTACCTGCAAATATAATAAAAGACTAATTTATATTCATAGCACTTTGGCCTTAATTTACCAAAATACAGAATTCAACCTCCATTTTAAATGAAATTTATAAAATATAAGATAAATACGAGAACTAAAATAAATTGAATAGACACAAAATTAGTAATACAAAATATTCCTATAAACCTACTTCTTGATTTTATCAATCATCGAAACAGTAGCCTAGGACAGAATTCACAACAGCCTGATCGCACTGAAAATGTGATGGGGCTGCAACATCTGGATAGGCTGAGAGGCAGGGAGAAGCCACTGGCTTTCCCTGAGATGGGACCTAGTTAGGTGCGGTGTCGATCTGGGGTCACCTGAAATCACATGGCCCGGGTTCTTCCCAGAGCAGGGCGCCTAAGGCTGGCCGTCGGAGTGGTTTTTAGTGGAATCACCACATACTCCTGGCTCCTTTATCCCCTAGGAGCCGGAGATCCGAAGGGATTTTCCACTCCGTCAAAAAAAAAAGGACAGAATTCACATAGCAGCACAATCCATGTTTGATTTTTCAAATTTGAATTCAAATTGGCTCGTCTCGCCCAATTAATCTTCACGATGTTATCGTATAGATACATATAAATGTATCTATCCCTAAAACGACCGGAGTCGCACCAATTGCTTAGAATAAAGTAAATCTATAACAAGCTATGAAAAGAAAGAATCTCCTCAATCTATGGCATACTATTTGGAACAGAGCTACCTGTTAAGCAGCGCATCACTCAGACAAGCCAAATTCGTCGAAGTCTTCACGATGTCGTTCATCTGAGCGTGACAGTATATCAAACAGTCATGTAATAATGGTTCCATCTGTAATTTTTTCGTGATTATAGTTTTTTTAGTTAAATAAGATATTAAGTATTTACACTTAAAACTTAGGCTATAATTTTTCTTAATATTTTTTTAAGTAAATATCCTTTAAGTACTTTCAGAAAAATATGACTTATGGCTCCAAAAAAGGCAAAAACTGTTTTTTCGGCTGGGAAAGTGATGGCGACTGTTTTTTGGGATAGTCATGGAGTTATTATAATGGATTAACCCTAAAAAATGAAAAACCATTACAGTAGCATACTACGCATCATTACTTGACAAGCTGAAGGCAGAACTTGCGGAAAAACGGCCACATTTGCAGAAAACGAATACCCTGCTTCACCAAGACAACACACTGTCTCACAACTCAGCGGTCGCCATGGCGAAAGTCCACGAATTACGGTTTGAACTGCTTACCCATCCGCCTTACTCACCAGATCTAGCCCCAAGCAAAAAATTGCGCTCGGAGGATAGAGATTTTCGTCAAATGAAGAGGCAATCACCTTCGTGTACAATTATTTTGCAGAGAAAAACGCCGAGTACTATTTGGACGGGTTACAGATATGGCAGCAGCGCTGGCAGAAGTATGTAGAGTTATAAGGAGACATGTTGAAAATTAAAAAAAAAACTGAAAAAAGGTCTTGTATCTTGGTTAGGTGGGAAACTTTTCAGACCAGCCTCTATCCATAACGTATTTAATTGAATAAGGACTAATAATGTATTGTTTATAATAGCTTCGTAAATAACCCAATTATTTGTTTGTAATATTCAAAAGATAAAAATGGTTATTGTGGGTTATTCTTAGGAGATAGACATATACCAAAGCGAATCTTTTGTCGATCTTTTTAAGATATACAATTCCGTAGTACATTATTTTGGTCTATCTCGTAAGGCTTAGCCAGCGTTTGCAATGTAAGCGCACAAAAACATATTTTTTAGAACAAATATTTGAAATTCTCGGATGTCTTCTACTATAATATGCATGATGTATTTTACATATAAACCTTTCTCTTGAGTCACTCTCTCTATTAGTGAAAAGCGCATTAAAATCCGTTTCTTAGTTTAAAAGATCTAAGCGTACAACACAAAAAAGCGACTTAATTTTATACTATGTATACTTAGATTATGTATTATAAAACAACGTGCAATGATACCCCGATTAGTTGTGCTAAATATACCTGAAGGAAAGACGCAGACACCAGAATGGGAACAACGTTGTGAGGATCCAAAATGGGCCAGTCAGCCACTAGAATCGTATCTCTCTTTACCCACCGCATTAGCCAGTCAAAAATCTGAAAATGTCTCATTCATTTAAAACTCTATCCGATCTATAAATCATGGGTGGTAGTCTGTCAAAGATTTAATAAAAAAAAATCATTTTACAAGTTAAAAGATCAATAAACTTTACGAAGTATGGGTATAAATCTATTCTTCTTTGTAACGGCTTTTTATCTGAACCGAGATTATTTTCGAAAACAATAGATGTGTGTGAGTTCTAAGATCTAAATTGATACAATCGAACAAACTATTTTCTGCGTTTAATTTATTTTTGTTTAAAACTCCAAAGGCTATTTTTTAATATTTATTTTGTAGATCTTATCAATGACTTATTACGATTTAAGTTTTGGAAAGCGCACAGAAGTAAGACATAAGCATATCACTTAGAATACGTAATCTTTATCTCACATGTGTGAATGCAAGAAAGAAAAGATTTTACCTGAATATCACAATGAACAGATATGTCCATATCTTCTAATCTCTGACCAGCTGTGACATCAGCGAAGTATCCCATCTTCGCTACTAATAACTTCTGAGGACATCTAAAATCTTTCTTGAGGCCTTTCACTTCATCGCAAACGTGAATTTCTACGTCCCCCCTAGTAAAATATATTATCACTTCACACTTACTGATACCAGAAGTCGCATAAATAAATTGCCCGGGTTCGATTCCCGGTATCGAAAGAACTTTTTGTAATTGTTCTAATTACAAAAAGTTCTTCCGATACCGGGAATCGAACCCGAGCCTCCTGGGTGAGAGCCAGGTATCCTAGCCACTAGACCATATCGGACTAGTAGAATCAGTTAAAAGTAAACATTACTATCGTGTAAATGTTAGGAAACAATTTTATTGCGATTGTCACATTTCGCACCTTTATTCATAAACTGAATTAACTTAGAATTTCAATATTGTGGGAAATCGCATTTAAAGTTTGACATGCTTAGATTGATAACTTTAAAAAATCAAAAAAAGAAAAATAGAAGGGTTAGGTCAAGTACAAAAACAGATTTATGTAGCGTTATTAATGAAGTATTAGAATAAGATAGAAAAATATATTATATTAATCAAGAATACCTTTTAGAGAAGAGTTTAAAAAAAAGTTTTAAAAAAAATCAGTAATCCAAGGAGAATAAAAGCTAAATTGTTTTTTAAATCTTCTGAAAACTTATTATTCTTAAATCTAAAGTCTTTTTAAAATCTTCCAAAATTTTTAAAATTAATTAACAAAAATAGTATTATAATTAAAAAATAACTTCACAACAATTCCTAAAAATAGAAAAGTAATTAACAAAAATTTAATATTAACTTGAAATCTTACAGACTTCTTGTCATTAAACATAACTGTTTTGGTGTTATTATCACACTATAAAATGAGATCTGGTTTAAAAACTTAAAGTTAGAAATAATTTACCTAAAGTATGTTATTATAAAAAGCCGTGTAAAAAGAAGGAATTAATGCCTTCGAAATTAGTTCCTGTAAGTCTTTTTTCTTATTTTCACTTATTTCATGTTTATTAAAGTATGCTTCTTGAAGTTCTATTTCTGTTGTTGGCTTCATTTTCTTTCTTTTGTTTCTTACATCAACCTCCTTGTAGTTTTTATCCTTGTATGATGTTTTGTAGAAAAATAAGGTAGGGTTTTCTTTAGTAGTTTTTAAGACTTATTTCATTCCAATTAACGTTCTGTCCATCTGTATTTATTGTATAATTATATCCCCATTCTTCTTGTAATTTTTTCATATCATAAAATGATTGATAATTCATTTCGTGCACAATTAATGGAGGTTGAGTCTTTTTGGCATTCTTAATTAAAGCAATGTACTGGTCGGGTGTATATATGGGGCCTGATTTTAAGTTTTTATTTCTTTCTTTCTCAATGAGGCTATGAACACTATCAGCTTCATTTTACGTGTGACCTCGTATCAGAAATTTATGTGTTATACTCGTAATATTTAATGTTTGTACAGCATATAGATACAGAGATGTTATATATTTATTTTTGTTTTGTCCACAGCAATTGTCCGAATAGAAAATTACTTCCTTCGTTTCGTTTATAGTTTTCAGATATGCCCATACACATGATCCGATTTCAACCGCACCACGTTTAGCGTCACTTTCTGTCCAAAAATAGCAATGCACATTTTTTTAGGCGACTTATATTCATGTGGCGTTAATTCGGTTACAGTAAAAAAGGAACAGTTAAGTTTTGACTTGTAGTACAAGGAGGAACTATTACCTTCGAGGCACTGCAATACTGCCTCTAAATCGTATACAACTACTCTCATATTTTTGTCTACTTTTTTACGATCGTTAAGTTTCTCAGCTCTACAATAATCCTTCTCTTCTAAATGTTTTAAATATTTCTCTTCGAAATTCTTTTTTTGATTTTCATTTGAATTACGATAAGAATAATATAGATCACATTGATCCTTTTTGGGTTGATAAAAGGACAGATTAAATTCATTTGTAAATATTTTATAGTAAGTTATGTATGTACCTGCTTGTTTATTCTGTTTTTCTTGTTATTCCTTAAAATCGGTGTATAAATCTTTAATAGTTTTGTTACCTTCTATGTATTCTTTCGTTGTAGAAGCTCGCTAGTAATGTGATCCAACCTTAGGGATAGAATTAATGTGCTTTACGATAGCACTGCGTATTTCGGAATCATTTTTTTTTGTGGTTTGTATGTTTTCCTCTTAAATCGTTAAATAAAAAATCATTTTGATTTATTCTGTTTTGCACGGTAAATTTCATACGATCTGTGATATCCAAAGTTGCCTTATAAAAAGTTTTACAAACTCGGATCATTGCGCCGTCTACTTTAAAATAAAAGGCTTTGTTGTTATGCCTTGGTCTTTCAGCATTCGTATATTTGTATCTAGGTTGAACATCAACCATACTCGCATTTATATACGCTCTTTGCTTTATTAAATCACCCAAATCCAGAAAATTCCGAAATAATTTGTATCTCTGTTCAAAATTTATAGTTGTGGTACATTTAAGCCTACATTTATCCGTGCAAGGTTCCTTTAGATACCGAGCTGATACGTTTTTTAGGTTTAGACTGCGATACGTACGATTTTCCCTTATTTAATAAAATACGTTTAAGTTTGTTCTGTTTCCATTGAGTTGGAATTTTGGTGCGTTTGTGGCCTGTTTTCAGGGTAGATCTTGTAGCCAGTTTTGAATCTGAAGAACAGGTAGAAGAGGAGTTCGATTGGCAAAAAAATAGTTCCTTTTTTTTGTAAGTATCACGTATGTGGGATCAGTATCACTCAAGTCAATGTCACTTTCATCCGTATATAGAGGAGACGTGTAATAATTTTGAGCCCCATGTAAATTAGTCCGATTACTTATTAATTGCTGAAAGATATAAATTGGAATTCATTATTATGAAGAACGGCAAATACTGTTTTTCCTTTACAGAGCCCTAACGGCTATAAAATATAACTCGCCTTTCGTCTATATGACTGTTGATCTGGAGGTATGTTTTCTACAACGTCATCATAATCTGTTTCATCAATAATAACATGAGGTCTAGTAGCAGGTCAATGAGGATTAGTCGAACTTGATGAAGATGAGTCGAATGATGATGAGCTAGATAGTATTGCCTTCCTTATCAGATATAGTTATGTCACTATCATAATAAGGGACCAGACTTTTATCAGGTTGACTGTTTTCAGGGTGTGATTTCTGAAATTATTACATTATGAGGTGTTAAATGGCATTCGTTGGATTATTAAATTAATGTAGTTTAGTTCTTTGTTTAAATTTATTTCTATTTACTTAACCCAAAAAGTCAACAAAGCAATTAATAAAAAAAAAAGAAATAAATGCAATTCTACTTAATGATAAAATTACTAACCTCATGATCGGAATCCTTAATACTACTTTGATTGTTGTAGTTTTCAATTAAATTACACTCGAGTATTTTTATTATTTTTTGTGGTGTTTTCTACAATCAATTCTAAAATCTTTCGAGCTCGCGAAGACGACATTCTAAAACCAAAATAATTCTTGAAAGCCGATATTCCATTCATAATTTTACTAAAACAGTGAAATAACTACAGACAATACGTAACTTGTATCTAATATATTTAATATTAAACAGAAATATATATTAAAGTAACTAATTTTTTGTTAATTTATACTACAATACTGAACCAAAACTTAATTATTAAAGTTTTGTTTTAATATTTTAATACTGAACTGCATTAATTCAAAATGACGCGATAATTGATACGATATAATTTATACAAAACTGAATTAAGTCACAATGTTTTCTATAAAAATACATTTACTTTTCTAATAAAATGAAATAAATTTAAATTGATGCAGTTTTTAAAGAAAATAAAACATATTAAATAATTACCTGATACTAAAATAACAAATTATTTTGGTTTATTCCCCTTTTTTTATGAAACGTTGCGGTTTTGAATGGCACAGCGCCGGCTCATTACTGAACTCGCTCACTTTACCGGTACCGACATGTACGTGCGAGTTCGTCAAAAAAAGAACGACGATCTCTTATTTCTGTCATTTTCATGGTATCGAGTCGGCTGTTGGATTGTTCGTGTTCTACTGATGAAGTTGATTTGGTATTTGTTGAAAACTCGAAAAACGTAAATTTTGAATTAATTCAGTTTATTATTAAAGGTGCGATTTATAAAAGGGTTATCAAGGGGATACGGAAGACATTATTTATAAAGGATGTAAATGTCAAATGACTATAGGTAGGTTGGGACTATACAGGTTGTCTTGTACGTAGTCGAAGTAGGATTATTATACTATACCTACTTTTATACTGCTATGCTTTTATAGTTTCTGACAGAAACGAAAGAACTTACTTTATTCTTCTTATTCTCCTACTAAATAATGGCTTTGATATGCAATTAAAAAAAGCAAACAAATTTTACATTTCGATGTAAGTATATATCATAAGTTAGTTTCTCACTCTTGTTTCTGAATAATGCGCTCGTGAGCTGCATTGACAGAAGATTTACGTCTCCCCAAGCGGTCTCGTGAATCTTTTTCGTCCATAAATCCTACAAAATAATAAAGTACCTATTAGTTACACATATATTCCTATGTTACATGCCTATATATGTGTATTAGTTACATAGGAAAAGGAATGACTAAAAATACTTTTCCTATATTGTGTCTGTGTTGTGACTATTTCAGAAAGTCATACAATTAAGTTAGAATGTCTATGTGAGTAGAGTATTGGATGAGAAACAAAGTGTAGGTAATCTCCTAATAGCGTGGCCGACAATTATTATCTTAATTTGGATTATAGCTTAATTTAAAAAAGATACTAAGATTTCACTTTAATTACAAGTGAAAAAAAAGCATTCATGTTCTCTATAGCTAATTGCTATAGAGTATAGAGCAATGTTATTTAGATTTAAAACGATTTATAAAAGGCGGATGTTCTCAATTTGATTGTAATTTTAGTTTGTTACATCAGAACTCCGTCATTTACGCACCATTTATGTTTTTTTTTGTACACTCGTTTATATCCTCCCAAATGAAGGTTTGGCACCAGGGGCCGAAAATCGAGGAATACAGTTCATTACAAGTCATCATAATGTACATTAAATTCGACGATTCTTTACGTCCCATGGTACATTTACGTACCTCCAAAACTTGCAGGTTTTTTTACATCGACTGTGTTAGCAGATGGTGTTTTCTTGATGATCGGTGCGTAAACGCTCGTCGTTTTGGACGGCTTTTTGTATCCTAGCAAATATGGTAGAATAGAGTCCAAAATGCCCTCATTGACAACCTAAAATATATAAAATCACATAATAGAATCGGCATTAAGGCCGCCTGTCTACAACGTATGCATTAAGTTATTATAAACTAGCTGACCCGGCGAACTCTGTTCCGCCTTAAAGGCAACAAATAAGCCGATTTTCGAATTTAGTAAGGTATTTTTTTTTTCTTAGAAAAAATCTTCCGTCTTTGAAAATTCTTCGATGAAGCATTCCAAGTATAATAACGTGGCATCTCCGAGTGAAGCAAAGTTCGTGCAAACATTTTTTTTTTTTTTCGGAATAAATAGTATCCTATGTCCGTCTCCTGGCTCTAAGCTACCTCCTCACCAATTTTCAGCCATATCGGTAAAGCCGTTCTTGAGTTATAAATAGTGTAACTAACACGACTTTCTTTTATATATATATATAGATAAATGGAGAGGGGGGCTTGTGGCTAAGTGATAACCTAGTTGGTTAACACATTGCAAACTTGAGCAATCCTAGCCAGGTCAGTCTATGGATGGCTGACCATTCTTAACACATTGAGACCCCTCCGTACCTCGGAAAGCACCTTAAGCCGTAGGTTGCCATATGAACATCTGTGGCAATCGTTACGGGTAGTTGGAGCCCTAAAAAGGTCAATAAGAGTTTTTCTATAGATCTTCGATATCGCCTAATACTTGGGTTGTGGTTTGATGGCAGTCGCTCCACGTAAAAAATCGAAGTTCAGAGTATCGTAGTAGACTTCAAGCCGACCCCAAACTAGGTTGGGAAAAAGGCTCGGAGGAACTTAATTATTAAAGTATTTCTTCTTTCTTATTTCGCACTTAATGAACTACGTGCTTATGTAGCAAGTTGCGATTATTGAAGCCTTTCTCCTTTTGTAATAAGATCTACTCATTATAATTATGTACAAAGATAAGAAAATATTATATTTTTTTACTAACATCGTTTAGTTTACAGTTCAAATTTGCTTCCGTCCATACGCCTAGCATTTCGACTCTAGCTTCTGGCGCGTGGGCCCGTCGTCCTTTCGCTAAAAAGTAAGTAATAAATAATAAAAAAATTAGTAGTGCGACGAAATACCGTTACAAATTGTCATAAATACAACAAACCTTCAAGTTCACTGCAACTGAATCGTTTTTCCAACCGTTCCTGGCTATTTTTCTTACCCACAACTGTATCACTCTTGCTTATAACAGCTTTTGGTTCATCATACGACGTCTGATATAGGAGATCCCTTTCCTGTTGCTCGATTACGTGGTTGATTACAGTTAATTTAGTTAATTCTTCCCAGTCAATCTTTGACCCTTCATCTTCATCATTTTCTAAATGTTCGTAAACCTGATAAGCCGTTTTCATAAAATCAAAAAAATCTTTTACCGTGATGGTTTCAGCCGAGACGGGTACGCATGATTTCACCGTGGAATTTTTTCTAGAGGTTGACTCGGATCTTATTGGGCTTTTATTGCTGACTCCATCGCCTTTTATCATGAACATTGACGATGAATCCCATTCTGGATTAGGACCAGCCATTATGAAGACATTTGTTACACCACACAGGATTTTATAAGTACTAGTATTGATCTAATATGCCTCTTGGAAACGTTAACTGTACGTAAAATGTCAAAAAATGTAAAGGTGTAGGAGTCGTTGTAAATGCAGTATATTTTATATACCCTTATTGCAGTATATAGTAGTATAAAACTATGAAGTATTCCACAATTTGAAATCTATGGATGGTTTAAAAATATTTGTGTAATATTCACGAAAATGCTTTATCCATGTAAAAAAATAAACCAACATAACCTATTTTTGTGCTTAATGACGCAATTATTTTTTCTTATTGTCAATTTTATATTATCAATAATAGATGCCGTAGATGCCTAATTATTATGTCAATGAGGTTAATATAAATATTCACATCTTGATGTAGTTGACAATGAACGATATTTTAAAAATGTAGTATATGTACTAATTTCTTTTTGCTAATTACTCCTAAAAGAAAATTATTTTTTTATCCAGAATATTTTATATAGTACATTTTAGTATATACAGGATATTTTATTCATTTATTTATCTATTGGCTAATACCTGGCGAGCGAGAGCAGCTAATCGCAAGGTTTCACTGAATTGTCATGCGTTATCCTTTTTTTGCATCGCAAGAGTGCGCGACAGGCCTTTAATTAGATAATGCAATATTTACAGGGAAACAGACTCTATTACTCAGTGACTGACTTATATTTAAATCACATACTTACAAAGTTATATGACAGTAGAAACCTTTTGAATGTTAAAAAGCTTATTTATCTAAAGCTCCTTTTTTTATTTAAATTCACTAGTTGAGTTTTTGCAATTAAACGCAGTTGACGCCATAATGTATTTTAGTCATGACGTCAGATGGTTGTGTAAACAAAGGCTCTGTAATTATCGATTATCGCTGATGTGTTGTCCCACTTGTTCTTGGATGCTGTGCCCCACTTTTCCATAGCTGGAAAAGTTAAAAAAGTGTCCAGCTGTAAACTGAAAATAGAGTCGCTATTACATACAAATGTATTTTAGCTGCTTTTAGGTATTTCTATTTGGTAGGTATCTCTATCAATTTGGGATAAAAATCCAACATCCATACAATCAGTGGACATGCCAAGACAGTCTGTATAATTACTCAACTAAGCATCATGAACGGGATGTAAAGACTTGAAAGCGTAAGAGACGGATTAACAGACAGAGTAATTTGCATTTAAGTTTTTTTTCTTGTGATGATCATGTAGTATGTGTCATCACAAACTAACTAACTACAGTGTTTATTAAACAGCAAAAAAAAAAATAGTTTTATTAAAAGTGTAACCGATATAACGTGAACAAGAATCCTTAAGATAGTTTAGATATTGTCTTCAGCTTTTAGATTAGATGTTATTGCTTGTAATGGAATGAATATATATTGCATCTCTTTCTGTTGAATGCGCGATGACAAAGAGAGATGTCTTAGGCACGTCATATGTGTTTTGTAGGTTGTTTATGTAGGTTGGAATGCAAGTTCTCTACAGTCGACCCAGTGATATGTCATATCAACAACATTTTCACTATAATTTTTTGTTGTTCAACAAAGTTATTTAGAATGTTCACGCCTGAATTTTATTATGGAAAGCTACCAACCCGAATATGACAAGAACGGTTTATTATCTGACACGTTCTGGAGGACACCACATCGCGCAGTCCCGGGCAGGCCTTGTCAAACGGTTCAACGTACCGAGGTTATGTCTGGGTCATCGTATCAACAGTTCCAGGCGTCTGTGAACGACGCCTGGGACCTTGGCGACGACGACATCATATCTGGAATCGCTGAAACTAAAATATCCAAGGCCATATCGCAAACCGCCGCTTTGAACGTGATAAATTCGCATAGAAATAGCAGTAAGAACGTAAACAAAAATGACGTAAAACATGGGAGTGAGAGTGTGAAACCTAAAGTGGAAGCCTTGGAAGTGAAGAAAAATGAGATTCGCAAGGCGGGTGGTGCTGGGAGCTCGGGACTCCTTCGTCACTACCCAGGCCGGCCGCGTCCTGTAAGGTTGTCGGCCCTAACTTCTCGAGAAGAAAGTAGTGAATCGAAGCTTGAAAGATTCCAGCAGCTACACGATAGTGCTGTGATAGACCTAGATGAACTAAAACAACTCAGTTGGTCAGGAATACCAGTAAAAGTAAGTAATTTATTTCTTATAGTTGATGAGTCATGAAAAGTTATTGTTGTGATTAATTAGGTATGGTTATTAGTTTCTGACAGTGCTGTAGTCTGCTTTCTTGATGGTTGTAGTACCCTTGGTATAACAATTATTATTTTAAATCTCAGTGTATGTAGTTTAAAAAAGTATGAAAACTATAGATATTATCTAGGGATTCATTCTTATAAGCAGAATTGAGTTTGGTAAAAAAAAACTGTTAAAAATTCAAACCATACTGTAGTCTACCAGCGATAAAGCCATATGTTGTTTAATCTAATGTATTCATTTATAAATGCATTGTCTTATGTATCAGTTTGGATTAGGATAATTAATGGGATACCTATGTTAATTAATGTCGGAATTTATGTTTTATATTTCAAAAGTATTTGCTAGCTTCTAAGCAAAGAATGTTGATTAGCTTTCCTATTTCTATTAAATGATAAGAATAATAGTAGAAACCATAATGTGTGTCCTATAAATTAGTAATAGCTTCTATAAGGCAAATTGGATTTTAATTATTACAGTAATAAACTTGTCTCTAATAACTTAAAGGTGTCAGGAACATTTGAAAACCACTGTTGATTTAGATTTATTTTCTGTTTAGCTGGTATAGCATGCTGTAACTGATGCTAATAATTGAGTTATTGGAGTTCTGAACTTGCTTACTGAGATAGAAAAAGTAAGCACTAAAATGCAGTACTTTACAGGTGAAAATTAAATTATCACAAAAGTATTTAGCATACATTTGAGGTTTAATAGCAAAAATGTTCTATAGCTTCAGAATTAACACAGTTACATTTTGAAATTACTGTACATACTTTTGAATTGACTGATATTTCAGTAAAATATTTCAATGTTTAAAACCCCATGACCATATTCAAAAATTAAGTTATTGTTTTCAGTCGAAAAACCAAATCTTTTAGATATTAGGAAGGGAGTAATTGAGTTTTGTTATAAGAATAGATATCAAATTCTTAATAACATTGAATTCTGTCAATAGTTGCCTTTAAACTTCCTAAATGACTGCATGTTCACCGCATAAGGAATTAAAAAAGGAGGATCATTTGTCTAATCAATTATCATATTCAATATTGTTTTACAACTTATTCTATATAGAAATAAGAATTCTATTCGTACATAGAAAATATGAATGCTGTAGTAGCTGAACTAAGTCATGACCACCATTGGATCTGGTACGTGACTTAGAAAATTATTACACCTAATACCAAGTCCCCATGAGTTTACTAATACAAAAAACAAAACAACTAATGCACACTATGTTTTACTTATTTGTAATTCAAAGTAATCTCATCTTAACTCTTAATCATAGGTCAATCATTTTTAAACATAACCTGGTAATTTACAAGCTTGAAATATTTTGTTATATAATTTAAAAGAAAGGGTGAGAATTATTTCAAAAGATAAAAGTAGTTGTCTTAATTAAACACATTACTTATAACTGTACCTACATATAGGCTGGTCTATGGCATTGAGTGAATCTAGAAAGAAACATTTAATGTTATCTTATCAATATTATTTTGTTTGTTTGTTTTGTCACTATCACTTGTGAAACCTTGATTAAGTTGTTGATCTTGTAAGAGGGTCAGATAAATAAAATAATGGACATTGTAATTTGGCTAGCCACATCTATCTATTTGGGGTTGTTGTAAGTCACATTATATTGCTTTTATATACAAATGTTCTAATAACTTACAATTGTTAAGTTGATCCTAGTCATAAATCAACACAACTTAGATGATCCTTAACTCAGGTTTAGACTTGATGTACTCATGCCAAACGACCTTGTGTATATAAATGAACTTACATGGAATTCTTTCGTTTTTGGATCGGTTTTTTTTTTTCTGACTTAAAACTGGTTCTCACTCGACAAATTTTTTGTGTGTACTCATTTGATTGAATCCACATGATCCACAACGCAAGAAGAGGCAACGCGAGTTGTAGAAGGTATATCGAAGGACGTTCCTTTTTGTGGTCGATTTATACTACTACTATTTCTGCAATACAACGTCTTTCCTTTTTCAAGACTTTCTTGATAATTAATTTGGCTCATTATCACATCCATCTTTTTTTTATAGCAGAGCACGAAGACTGAATAAATGAAAGTGTATGCTAGCATTATTCGTATGTATATGCTAGCGGCTTCCTAGAGAGCTTCTATGAAGCGCACTCGTAAAAGCTTAGAGAAGACACTCCAGTTAAAAACCCGTATAAATTCTCGTAACAGCGCGTCCTTGCTTTCCGTAGTGGTGTTGTAATGTAAACGAAAAAGTCTCCATGCTAATGATTCGTGTATTCATCATCATCAACAGCCCTTAATAGTCTACTGCTGGACATAAGCCTCTCCTTAGAAAGGAGGTTTTGGCCTACCTATTACTAAGTTATCGTGTTGTTCTTATTACTATACAATAGTCGATAAATTGTTATTAAATGTAAAAAAAAACTGCTAGGTATATTTTCTGTCATTAGCTCACGTTTGTTTTATCTCTACGGCGCTTGAATCATAATCGACACTTCAAAGGCTGTTACGGAAATAGAAGAATACTTATATAAAGCACAGGCCTGTTGATCTAGTGGTTAGTAACCCTGACTGCAAAGCCAGAGGTCGTGGGTTCTATTCCAGCCCAAGGCAAATAATTGTGATGAGCACGATCATTTGTCCTGTGGTGTAATTTATCTATAATCTGTTTATATTTAGTTAGAAATATATAGGTGTGTTTATCAGCAGTCTGCTTACCATAGTCCAGTTTGGAGTCAGACTCTCGTGGGTGAGATGGGAAAAGTTATTATTATCATTCAAATGAACATAGGGCGGTTTTAACGGTAGTAGGTATCTTACAGGCAACTCTTCGATAAATAAACAATAATATATTAAGAAATCTTCGTTGTAGACTAAAACTAATGGAGAGCAATTTTATTTTGATATATGTTACATATTTCTTTTTATTATATTAAACTCAGTTAATCAGATGTTTCTATAACGCTACAGGCTAGGGCAGTAACATGGCGTCTGCTGGCTGGCTACCTGCCCGCAAATGCTGAACGCCGCGTCGAGACACTGGAAAGAAAGCGGGCAGATTACAAGCACTTGGTCCGCCAGTACTACGATGCAGAACGGGATGACGACACCTACAGACAGATTCATATAGATATACCAAGAATGAGTCCGTTAGTTGCGTTATTCCAGCAGATTACTGTGCAGGTGGGTAATGAACAGACTAATGACGAACGTATCATTGCATGCACCCTTTGGCTTTATGCTATAAACGCTTCTATTTCGAGAAATAAGCACACGTATCATCGCTAATCAAACTGTTATATTTGCTCTTTAATTGCCTTTTTTTAAAACGTGGCGGTTTCTACAGGGTTTCATGCCAAAAGACCCTAAAATGCATCGTCTATGCTTAATCTAGAGCCTATATACATTTTTATCAATCTTTTCCATTCACGATTTCTTGACTTAAAATATTCGAGTAGATAGACTATAAAAACTAAATAAGTATGCACTTAGTAGAAAGGCGGCCACCGTTTCGTTTTATAGGTGTTATATGTATGTATTAAAAAAAAGTATATAAGTATTCTATCAGCCAATCTGGCTTTCATAGTCAACAGTGCAAGAACCTACTGTGAAATACATAAAGTATACTTAGTGCTTAAGAACAATGTATCCACTGTGAATATATTCATTTGTGTCAAATAAACATTTTTATTTGACTCGTATTTAAATTTATTACAGTACAAGCTCTGCTTAGTTTAAAACTAGATGGCGTTGTGTGTTTAGATGTCCGAAATGTTCGAAAATATTTCATACTAAATACTTGAAACACAAAACTGTTTTAATGATTATTATTAATTTAAAAACCTTAATATTCAAAAGTTGTTACTCTAACAGCAAACGGTCCTCCGTTTGCTGTTAGAGTTCACCTTAGACCTCCTGGTCTAAGGTGAACTCGAATGCATATTTCATCCATAAACGGCGTTAATAAGTTTTTAAAGGGAAGTCCAATTTAAATACTGTACTAATTACTAATTTTGATCGCACAGATGGCGTAGTGGTTTAAGCGGTCGCCACGTCGCTTCTTACTACGCTGAGTGTTGTAGGTTCGATCCCCAAATGGCACGACACTGTGTGATCCACAAATTGTCGTTTTAAGTTTGGGTGTTATTTGTGTCCGTTGCATTTATATTTGTAAAGTCTACCGCGACACATGATATATTCCTAGTGCGGGAGTTGTCTATTTAAAACAAAAAACTTATATTTTTTAAATATATTACTTTGCAAAAAATGGTAATCAATACAGAATCTTGAGAAAAATTATATTTTTCTCAGCCATAGATGTATTTATCCATTTATACATTAACTTCTGCAAACTGAAACGACTGCAGACGTCAAAGTACCAAATAACGACTGCATTTTTTGTGAGTTCTACTAGGCAGCTGGATAAGACAAATTTATCGTGCAAACATATCTTATTGTGGCCTTGTTTGAGGTGATTCCACAAGTCATTTACCTGTATTTTGTTTTCTATTTCCAGGTTATGTTTGAACGCATCCTCTACATCTGGGCCATCAGACATCCAGCATCAGGGTACGTTCAAGGCATCAACGATTTAGTGACACCGTTTTTTATGGTGTTCTTGCAAGAGGCTGCTTCGGGCCAAGAGTTGGATAACTTCCCCCTGGATAAGCTCAGCGAGGAGCAACGCGACGTCATCGAAGCTGACTCCTTCTGGTGCCTCTCCAAATTCCTAGATAGCATTCAGGATAATTATATATTTGCTCAACTTGGTATTCAATATAAGGTGAGAATATTTTTTGAATAGATAATAATATATTATGGTGACCTCTCATGATTACATAAAAAAGTTAATACCCATATAACGCATTCTTTTGCATCTTTTCATCAATAATGCACGTACGATAGGATCATTTTTCTTTTCGGAGAATTTAGATTTATACTTTGACAATTAAATGCAATGCGCATTGTTAAGCTAATCAGCTTTAACTATCCGGGTCACGCTATTATTCAAACATATTCGCTAATTTGTCTCTAAAGGGGCACATCTCACACCCACCAACAGCCAGCGGCGGTAGTCACTTACCATCCAGTGACCCATCTGATACCAGAGAAAAAAGAAATTGGTGTTTAAGATAATTAAATAACATAGGAATTAGTATTTATTCTTGTATTTTTATAGAAGCCGCTGAGATTTAAGCAGCCTAGTCAATAAAATAATGATAGAAATTGTTTTAAAACATCAAAAAAAAAACTCAAAGGGTGTCAAAACGCACTTGTGACTCTTAAGTAGCAGGTGTGTGAACTCAAGGCCGTGACTTAAGTGTCTTCTGGTTTAACTTTATGCTATAAAAAAGTAGCAGTAAATTGTCTCTTCATACGAAGTAAAGGTGCTTCTACACGGTGCTAGTAGCTGGAGCGGGCAAAGACGCGGCTTAGCTGCGTCAGGACCATGCACGAGTTATAGTAGGGGAGCCCATGATGCTAAATGGGGATTTACTCGAGCGTCATGGGGACCTATTGCATTTGAAAGATTAGGTAATAGAATGAATTAAAATTATATAATGTTTCCAATTTCAGCGGTGGGAAAAGCTTCTGCAGGTTTTCAATAATGTAAGGGGAGGAATTCAAAAACAAAAATGCGAGCGCATTGGGTATTTTGGCGATATGTTGTTTGGAAGCCAAAAATGCTTCCTCTGATTGATCTGACGATTTTAAAGTGACATAAGCACACACACACTCTTCGGCATGTAATTAACCTAACTGACCTTAATCTTAGACGATCGAGTATTTCTGACCATCAATATTTTTTTTTACTACTTTTATGGGCTTGCCCTAGACGATCAGCCCTAGACGATATATGGTTTATTTCTTTAATCTTCGAAGACCAACAATTTTACAAATTCATTTAATATTGTGTAGGTTACATTCAGCCATTAAAAGGTCTTCACGAATATAAAGTTACAATAGACAGTTTACAATAAGTAAGTGCGAGGATTTAGTATTTAAAAGCTATTATAAGTTTAAGAAAGAATCAAGTACAACACTTAATAACATTACTATTCTGAAAAGAACATTTCTTGTTAATCGTATTGCTCGCACGCCACAGAAACGTATCCTGTGAGTAATTTGGTAAGTGAATGGGAGTGTGGTGTCTCAAAACTTAAGTGCGAAACGTGAATTTAAAAGTAGATCGGGGCAATCTAGACGCTACGATATTATCCCCAATAGAAACGTAATGTAACGTTTTGTATTTCACGCCGTATGCTGAGAGGATGAATGTGAAACCTGGCGCATAGCTTCAAATAGTCCTTTGATTTGTAATTATACGTAAACCGATAGCATAGATATTTTATGAATTTCATTTTAATTTTCTCAATCCGAGATATGTATTTGTCATAACGTGGGCAATATGTAGGGCTCATGTATGGTAAAAATACTCAACTGGGTGAAAGGTATTCCTCCTTATGTCAATTTGACACGCACCTTGACATGTTACTACCCCTAATATTACTTGCCCCTTGGGTGATAGAATGTGCATGCTGCTCAAGCGGGTTACATGCTCCAGTCGCTGTACCCGCATAGTCCCTTTCGCGATGCAAATAACCTGCGCAAAACTGCTGTGTTAAACCGGTTTCTGTGAGTCGAACAGTTGCGCATGTCTGTACCTGTAAGTGCCTCAACATGCGCAGGCTACTTACGTCGTGTAGAAGCACCCTAAAGCAGCATGGCCAAATATATAAATACTTAACGATTGGGTATTCTTATCACTTTCAGAACAATTATTGAGGTCGCATGTTATCTGTTCGTTCTTCTTCAATAAATAACAATATTATCATGAAAACGTACCACTTTTAATATTATTTTGCTAAGTTTTACTTGCTGTTTTCAATAGCTGTAAAATTAAGTAAATGCAGCTGCAAATTATCACGAAATCTAAAGCATGGTATCACGTGAAGATATGAAATGAAATAAAACTAAATACAAATAGATACGTACTGACCCGCTCAACTTAGTTTGCGTCTCTCAAAAGGAATAAATTTTCGTCCATTTTAGCAGCATTAATTAACTTACATCGCCATCTATTAAGAATTCATAGAACTAAGCAATAAATGCACACTATTGTCATACAATTAACATACATTTTATTTGCAATAACTAATATTGATTGAGATAATAACTATCCTACATTATAAGTTGGACCAAATTGTAGATAGTTACGAAATCAGTTCAGTAATTTCGGAGTTTATACACACACACACGCACGCACACTGAGCCCCTCAGCGGGACAGGTGATCATAACAAAGATATAACGGTTCTTAATTAACAATAAAACCCTATTTTTTTTTGGGGGTGATAGTTTAAAAATGAGAAATTATTATTACTATGGAAATTGGATACTTAGCTATAAAACCTGCTCACGGTTCACCTTGTGCCAAATAATTCAAAGATGGTCTCTGATAGAATATCCAGCTGTCGATAGGGGAATAGTATTCATCCTCCCCTCCTAAGTTTTGGAGCGCCTGGGTATCTGTAGAGTATCTGTAGACTTCCAGACAAAAAACACACCGACATTCTTGCTTCCAAATGATACGGTTTACTCTGAAGTTGTGTTTGGTACGGACCATTAACTTTTAATCTCCTGCGCCGACTAGTCTATTTGACTACTTGAACCTTTAAATGTGATTTAAGATTTATGACAATCGTTCTATCAATATATCAGTAAAATATTATTAGCTTTAAATTATGTGGAATTCAACAGTAATATAAGTTTATTTACTGTTATTTTGCAGCACTTCGATGAGACAAAGCATATTCACAGGCGTGGTTGAGACCCTACAGAAATCAATTTCTATTGAGCATAGTACTACGTTAGTTTTTGTATATAAATAAATGGAATATCTGTTTTTTTTTAGTTTTGTCGTGTAAAACTAGACAATGACACTATTCTCAGTGAACAAGAAAACTTTCTTAGGCGCTGCTGCTATTATTGGCTGAAAAACAGGTGCGGTCTTGTACATGGGTGTAAAAAATAAATACTGTTTGGTTTGTAGCCGGGCTAGTAAAAATAACATAACGCCTCCAGAACATAAATGCTTCAAAAACTTTGATGGTCATCTACCTCTATGGAAGCAGATATAATTGCGGAGGGTTTTAAAACATCTGTTGCTATGTACGGAGTAATATATCAAAGACTTATAGCAGATGGTGAATCTTCCACATATGTTAAAATTTTAAAGGTGAAACCCTAAAAAACACAGAATTTGACTGTTGAAAAAATTGAATTTCCCAATCATATTTTACGAAATTTTTGTAAAAAGAAGCGGAACCTTACCAAAGAGACAATTTTTTTCTAGTTGTATAGAAAAACTTTAACGGTTGGTCCGTTAAAATTTTTCGTTAAATAATGGCTATGAGAAAATTAATTATTCGGTCGAAAAAATATCACCACCAGTCTGATGTTCCGAAAAACGATGCCGTCTCGGTACTTCTTAAAGATATAACATATTCAGTTGAATACGCTTACGGAGATCATAGAATGTGCCATGATTACAACTGTGAGCATGATAGAGTAAAAGGTGACATTAGGCAAAAAACGGAATAGTACATTTTTATTTATACTGAATGCCATTGTTGCAACTGTGGCTGGGAAATCAAGAAGTTTAATTGAAAATGTTGAAACCAACACCGTCAAAAGATTTAATAATGTTATAGCTAAATTTGTCGGTGGGAAAAGAATTAATTTTGCTCTCAGATGCGGGTACCAAGGAAGATGTGCAGTAGCAGTCGTATCTTTTATCAGGAATGCCGCCATTTCAGCTGAGCAAAAAAAAAATGTTAAATAGAAGTCCTTCAAGAAGATTTTTTAACTACATCGAAAAAAAAGGGCCCATAAACGTAAATTGGATTTGGAACATCCAGTAAAAAAGATACGTAGATTTCAAAACGCTAATAACGACCTATGGCACGACTATGGTCAAGCTAGGTCGGGCACCAGATATGTCAATGTTTGTTTTGGAGCGAAGGAAAGCTAGTTATTTAAACAAATTACTCAATCTTACATCAGACAGAGATCATATTGAAAGATCGATCGTCCTACAAAGGGACTCGAGTGAGTGGCTTGAAAAAAAAAAAAAAAAAAAAAAAAAAGAAGAAACACTCTACGGATACATCTTCTTTGGTAAAATATCTTTTGTACAAAAAGAATTTGTCGCAAGTGACCTCGGTAGCTCATGGGATTGAAAATGAAAAGCAAGCCCTACAACAAATTCAGCAAGAAAACCAATTTAAAATTTAAGCATGTGGACTTTTTATTGATAAGCAATACCCATTTATTAGAGCTACACCTGATGGCTTGATTGGGAATGATATGTTGGTTGAAGTGAAATGCTCATTAATTGCTGCCAAAGAAGGATTGCAGCAAGAACTAGAAAATAATAAAATTCAGCTGCTCCGCTACAAAAAAAAATTGATAACTGGTTTCATCAAATTCAAGGTCAGTTACATGTCACAGGCCATTGAAAATGTCTTTTTGATTGGTGGGTATCATAATATGAACCAGTGTTTATACAATATATTGAAAAAGACGACGAATTCTGAAAAGAAAAAAATGGAACCAAGGTTGGTTACATTTTATCTGTAACGAAACTCATTATTGTAAGCTAACTATGCTGTGCGAATAGGAACGCCCGCTTACCTATTGCGCTTTGACATGATTGATATAAAACTTAAGAAAGTTTAGAATAAAACCTCCGCCTCAATCATCATCTTTTATTAAAGTTATGTGAATTATTCAACTTATGTTGTGTGTATTTTTAATTAAAGCCTGTATTATGGTACCCAATCTGCTGATAAACTCGCTCATAGTGTAGTAAGAAAAATTTGTAGAATAAGGTATTAAAAGAAAACGACTGGTTGCACTCCGGGAGTGCCGGCAGAATTGAAAACTTTAATATTAACGTTGTGCATTTTTGATATTTTGGAATGGTTAGGAAATAATTTTGCATGAATTGTTTTAATTTTCAGTATAAAAGTACTATCATTTATGTGGTAGAATACAAAATTTATTTATTGCGCTATCGTACACTAACATGACAATTTATATTACATTAAAAAGTTTATCTCTCAGAAAAACGAACATTCGAGCAAGCTCCCTGCGCCGCGTAAACGAAACAGCAGGCGCAGGCATACAGTTGGGGCACCAGGGACTTCCTTTCTAGGGTATACCTGGTTCCCCGGCTATTAGTACCCTAGACGGCGTGCGGTTTTAGTCGGTTCGAGTCCGACATGCCACCGATAGGTGGTATCCGACGGGATTTCCGCACGGAAAAAAAAAGGCGCAGGCATACATTTTCGCCGCGCCGTAGAAAGAGAGGGGGATACTTCCTCTCCTACGCTGCGCCGACTGTCTACTCTCCATCCTTCTTACGAATTTTCAATCAGGTCACGTGTCCTGACGCGAGTTTAACATTTATTACCCATTACAAAAAAAGTGTACAACACCGCTAAAGAAGTTTTCTCTTCAAAAACATCTATTGTTTATGAGATGTTGAGTAAACAAATTATACATGTAGGAAGTAATGACCTAATATCCTATAACTAATAATTAATAAACCTTAGTTCGCCTGTTTAAACGGTCATTTAATTTCAATATTTTTTTAATTTCGTGTATACCTATTTTAGTAGAAAGCTAACACACAGGTGAATAACAAAAGTTTAAAAGTGCTAAAGCCAATTAGAATTATATACGTCAAACATGATATTCTTTTCTAACTACTGCATTACGAGTACGCTATACTGTGGCACAATATCTGGACGAGTGGCGCGCATCCGATTCGCGCAGCTTTTTGACATGCTGCGTCTTTGCGTACGATACGTTAGCGGGGGGTGAGGTAATGTTTGCACACCTACACACCGCGCTGCAAGAGCGCCTTAAAAAGTGATCAAAAGAAGGATCTATAAATGAAACATACGATGTACGAAAGCTAGGTATGAAGTAGTTTAACGCGTTTTCGGTAGATGGCGCATAACACAATCCTGTCTTTGGTTTTGGCGAAGAACGAATAAAATTATGATGAATCAGCTAGTGATGAGTCTATGGTCTCATTTATAGGTTAAACAAAGACAAATAAAAGCGAGACATCAATCGTTTATTAAGTCAAAAGACCCAAAAGCAGTTTTAGTGCTGCTGAGCTGAATATGTCTTTTTCTCATTATCTCATCTCCGTACTATATAAGACTGTTTATAAACAGTTCCGGATTGCAAATACACTTTAAATACTATTTTTTTAAGATTTTGATTTCTGTTAAAAAAAATATATCAATTTTATATAAATTGTACAAATAACAATATTCTGATGTTTGACTGCCGTTTACTTTATTATTTCAGTCAAAGTATGGTTTATAACTTTTCGCGATTACTGACTAGGTATTTTAAGTTGTATTAGATTGGTTTAGAACGAATCATAAAAATATAAAATTTGGTATTACCAGTACTCCTCTGCCTCTTCCGTTTTGGTCATTAATATATAACTAATCCAATAATGTCCAAAACGGATTCCAATCCAATTATCCTAATCCGTAATAAAAAAAAAAAAATTAATAAATAATTATTAATTATCCGTCCGTGAGGTACCTTTGGGCTTCAGCTGAAAATCAGCGCTGTGGTCACTTTTAGGGACTATAGCATAGGCTGAGTTGTGGCCCTTTAGTCACACACAGTGATCATTTTATTCTTTTGTACTTGTTTGTTTTTGTTATTGTATGTGCTATTCTTCAGTTGAGCAAATTGTTTCTTTTCTTTTTCTCTTCTATGTTATATCTGTAATTCCTTTTTTGGCTGTGTTTGTGTTGTGACTAATAAACGTATTTTCTTTCTTTCTTTCTTTATAATATTAATAATTTATAATTTTTGTTTTGTAATGTATGATTTATTTGTTGTATGGTCTTTTTATACTTATGTTTGATATTTAAATGCTTTATAAAATTGTATGATCGAAATGGAAGTTATTTCAATTATATTTTCACATAATAAATAATAATGAATCGCTAAATATATTGCTAAGCGCAACACTCGAGAACGGTTCGTTCAATTCCGCTATTTGTTTTTCATATTTTCGTTAAGGCGCATGGAAGGTAATTATGGAGAGAAAAAACGTGAAAATTGCGAGGAAAATAGTAAAAACAACACTTCTTTTCTTTTCTTCTTTTCCACAGAGTAAAAATAAAGCATCTGACTATAGCTGTTAAACATTTGACGTCAAACAAAAAATGGCATGCCTTCAAGGTGATTAGGCTGTAAGGATGTTTAATCTATGCCTGCCCAAAATACATTTCGAAGAAAAGTGATTACTGAAATACTGTTATTTATTTATCTTGTATATTGGACTGCCACAGGCCAACAACTTTTGACAGAACATAGTCAGTCCGGACGGCTAGTATTTTATTAAAATTAATTAGTAACATTTGGTATCAACAGATGTCTAGAATCTAGTCTATCCTTCTTGAACTAACATCAATGAAAACCATTATGCATAGGTAGCCTGGAAAAGATTGCATTGATTGCTAGGTGAATGTTGAAATTATTAATGTTCTGCGTATAAACTCAAGACGCACACTAAGAACTGACTTTTCTATTTTGTACGTACAACCTCAACCGTTACAAAACATAATCACTTTAAACATGTAGTCAAAAATCAAAACCTAGTTACCTGTTCCAATGCGTAGATCCTATAGAGAAGAACAGGAATTCATTTTCAACATACTTTTTACAAGTTACTTGGTACATTGTTTGTAAGTTAAAATTAAATTAAATGTAAGAATATTGTACCGAAGCTATGTACTCCCGCTAATTCTGGGGGAAGGGGAACTTAAAGGGCCGCTACACAATTGTTACTCTTCTAGTCCTATACCATCAGGGACTCGTTAGCTTCCTATACTATAAAAAAAGTTACATTTTCAAAAATAGGAACAATCGAGCACAACTACTACTGTATTTGATAGCAGTCCCCAGTGACGAGACTCAATCAATGGCACCTGTTCGCTTGCGTCCTGATCAACCATATTCCACCATATTCATACGCCATCAACTACTATATAGTCCCAAGAAAGGTATATTGGTTGATAAAAGTAATTTGGTGACATAATTGTAGCAAGATGTTAGGTTTGTATAGATGCCTCTTGTGTTTACCTTTACCATATTTAAACTGGGTGCAATGCTGGGCTGCATCATCTAGTATACCTACTCTGCTGTATACAGTGGAAATAACAGTGTTAATTTCTAGTGAATTTAAAAAGCTAGATTAGAGCTTAAAAAGATGTTTTTTCCTTTCCTTCTTAACAGCTTTATCATAGCCCAATATTTAAAACAAAAACCAACGACAACCATAACAAAAATAATTAAAAGAGCCGCGTATACCACTTTAATATCTATAGAAAAAATATTTTATACCATTTATATTACACTGATATTAAAAATAGAAACAGTAAGGGCAGGCGGACTTTAATTTTCCTTAGGGAAAATGCCATGATAATGTTTTTCCATCAGGCACACCTAATTAGGTACTATCAAAAACCACAAAACGACGCCCGTTTATTATTATATTGCTGCCTTGCGTCATATGTTTTGACATTGTTCTTATATTATTTGAATTTTGCTTGGTTTATATCGATTACAAAAAACCTAGTCACGGTTTTTGACTATTTATTAATAGTAGCCGTATCATAAGCCGTAATATTTATTACTAGCTGACCCGCGCAACTTCGTCTGCGTCTCTCAATAGTATTAAATTTTCTCCGTTTTTGAAACATTCTTCATTGGTGCTCCGCTCCTATTGGTCTTAGCGTGATGATATATAGCCTATAGCCTTCCTCGATAAATGGGCTAACTAACACTGAAAGAATTTTTCAAATCGGACCAGTAGTTCCTGAGATTAGCGCGTTCAAACAAACAAACAAACAAACAAACTCTTCAGCTTTATAATATTAGTATAGATTAACACTAAAACATTTTAAATTATAGGTTTCAATCATGTTCCTTCGTAATTTTTTTGTGTATTACCAGATTACTGAGAATCAGCCTGCTAACTGCTTTTTGTATATGTTTTATTATAACACAACTCTATAATGTGTGAGTGAGATTAGTCGCAAATTAATGTTCTTATTTGTTCGCAGGTGAATCAGCTTAAGGAGCTTATCCGCCGCATAGACTTACCACTTCACGAACACCTGCAGACCCACGGTGTCGATTACCTGCAGTTTTCGTTTAGGTGGATGAATAACCTGCTAACTAGAGAAATACCTTTACCGTGTACTATACGCCTTTGGGACACCTACCTCGCAGAATCGGACGGGTTCGCTACTTTCCAGCTTTATGTCTGCGCAGCATTCTTGCTGCATTGGCGCGAAAGACTGATGCTAGAGAAAGACTTCCAGGGTCTTATGATTCTTTTACAGAACGTTCCGACCCAAAACTGGACGGACTCTAATATTAGTATGCTGGTCGCCGAAGCGTACAGGTTGAAATTCGCTTTCGCCGATGCGCCAAACCACTTGCATAACGCGGGAAAATCGGATAGATGACCTGGGAGCTAACGCAAATATGTGTACGGTCGCAAAAAATGTCTATATGAAAAAAAAACACAGGGCTTTACAAAACTAATACCAATAACTGATGTTATGTGTCCTGTTCGTTATTTGATTAAGCTTATATGTATAGTACGCCAGTGACACGCTATCAATGTATCATTCACGTGGCATGTTAGTGTACGAATTTATGAATATACAACATTGGAATGGAAAGGGTATGGTTGGTAAAATATGTGAATACAGACGGGAACAAAAATTCGCTTAAATGCCCAAATTTACAAGGTCCTGTCACAAAAAAATGATTCTCAGTAAATTGCGATTTCGATACAACAAATACGAGGGGGTTTAGAAAATATACGTTATCCTCAGTATTTTTTTTATTTTTTTGAGGTTGTCCTGAGATTCGTTATAACAATGGTCCACCATGGTCAAGATTTCGGTCCTCGGCCATTGCAACCATAGCTACATTGCCTAATAGTAGTGACAAACAGCAATATTACACTACTCTGCTTAAACCAATAGCGACTATCTTATATGGAACGTGTCTAAACATGTCGAGAAATGAATACTAACTTCATTAATTATAGTTATATAGGTTGATGAAAATTGTGAAATATATTTATAGTTTCGTTCTACAATATTTAAATTTTGAGGCTCAAGAGGCTTTACGTTGAAAGTTATTGCTAATGTAACATTTGGTACATTTTGTATTGTAAAAGAAATGTTATATTAAGGTTGCACTGTTTTTTATCATTGATTATGGTTTTCAAGATATTTTTTTAAATTTGGAAGTGACATGTGTATATTTTGTTGCTGTCGATACCGATTGCGTAGTAATTATTATTAGATGGGTTTGTTGTTTTAAACCATAAAAGTATACTTCAAGTTCCAACGCCTGTAATTTTATAAATGAGTGGCGTTGATCTACAAAACGACACACAATATTAAAGATAAACAATTGCGCGCACTACTAATCGTATTAGTGGCAAAAAAAAATGCATCTGCTTCTGGGTTACCTTCTGATTTACTCGTAAATGAGGTATTTAAATACTTATCTAGACGTTTCTTAAGGTTTTCTAGTGGGAATGATTATTAAAACTAATTTAATTGCATTGGAGTGTGTACCTCTGTGTGTTTCTTTCTGTGTCGAAGCTGAAAGTATTTCTCAAGACTTTCTCAGCCTACATTGGGTTTAAGTATCGTACTGAATATTGTGTAATTGGTATTATTCTTAACGGTAGGTAGTTCAGCAGCTGGACAAACCAATATAGGCTGCATTCCGTATTCACTGGACCAATTTCTGTCAAAGCATTTTTTGTCTATTAGTGGACTAAGCATCCGACAGCATAAAAAAGAAGCCAAGGCTTTCCTTAGTACAAAATATTCTCATCAAGGATGCGATTATGTCACTTAAATGGGACTGCCATTTATATGACCATCTGGTCATAAAGCTCACAGGTACATTCTCTTATTAAAAGAGGTCCCAACCGAGCGTAGTCCTATATATTTATGTTCAGGCATCTTTAAATTATACACATTCTGTTAGTTTATCTCTTACTTTATAATTTAATGAATTATAATTTATCGTTTATCGACGTTGAAAACTTTCAGTGGTGGAAGTTCTTAGAGTGACTAAGAACATTCTGGAGTGGCCTAGAAGCGTTGAAAGATTAGACTGAACTGACTGAAATGGTCAGAAACTTTGGACCGGACGTAAAGCCAGCTCTACCCATAAGTTAGACATATCTCACTAAAAGAGAAAATAGACCTTGACAAAATATAATCTGAGTACTAGTTTTCCCTCGTCAAGTTGCTTGTTTAAATTAGTTCATAAAGATATTAAAGGTAGATTGTGAGTGATCAGGGTAAATGGTGTCATTTGGGGGTATTTCATAAAAACAACGTTTAATTGTTTTAAATGTATAATACGATTAAATACTCAGTTATATGTTGGTTGTGCAATTAATTCGTTGCAATTGGCTTAAAATTGATTGATTCATATTTATTATTTCATGTAAATTGCAGCCCTCTGGAGTCCTGACCGTTTTCGTTTACAAAGTGCTCTTATTGGTATTTGAGGATCTCATGGGCTTAGTACTCAGAACAGTTTTAGGCGCGACTTCTCCATACAAGAACTATTATTTTTTTGGCCATTGTTTAGCGGCCATTATAGTCGCAGACATATGTGGACGATCATCGTTATGAATATTCTTTACGACTTTTTTTTAACTTAGTAGACCCTTTACTGTATTTAGAGGATCTAATTGGTTCAGGAGTTTAAAATATCGGAAATAAACAATGAGTATTTAGTATACAACTAGTTCATACACAATTTAGCGCAGCGCTATTAGCGATTGCACTCAGGAGTATAAAACTTATTAATTTTTGATATTGCGTGTAAGTAGTCTGTTAAAAAATTTAATGCCTTTTATTATTTATTACATAGCAATCGCGTACCCAAATGAGTTTGTATAGTGATGCGACCAACGCCATATTCAATTATTTGTCTATATATCGGCCTAATGGTTTAAGTTAAATGATTATTATTGTGGTATATAAAAAACGTACGACATTTATAATCCTTATGAATATATTAAAAATCAATGTTCGTATTTTTGCGCTGCTGTGCTGTTTATCTGCGTACACGTTGCAGGGATACAGCAATGGCAGGTTACTGTTTATCCAGAAAAAAATGTTGCCGTGGGATGGAAAAAAATATAAGATTAGTTTATAATAAAAATGTCGTAAGTTTGTGCGTATCATTATGTGAATAAAGGCAGCTTACGCTGTTGTACAGGCGGGCTGCACTATGTTTGTCTATTATTAAAACTTTTATCGAATTGTTTGTTTCAATTTAATATACAATTATTTCCCGATAAGCTGTTTATTGTTGCAAAATCCCAGTTTGTTGACTAACGTTTGCTTAGCCCCTACATAACGTAAGTTATTCTAAGTTTCTTTTATAGTATTTTATAGCTGTCTGTAAAAGAAATGTACCAAACATAATATAACTATAACTTGAGAATGTATACATCCTATTTCAAATACTGTTTTTTTTTAATTCGGCATTGAAGGAATTTGTTGAAAATCTATTATTATGGACTTGTTCGGATCCTGTGCGTGGTAACTTGTTTTGTTTGCGAATTGCTGGATTTGACAACAACAAATTGCCAACAAGTCTGGAATCCAGAAATAAAAGTTCAATAATAATGCAAAAGGTGCATTTTATTGCTTAATGAACTTCACGTCTCAAATTTAAATGAGTGTTTTTCTACACAGAAAATGCCACCGAAATTTATATTTTTTAAGTGAACATCTCAGCATGGTGCAACCGGCCTCATGTTAAGTATATTGATTTAATTTATTTGTATTTTGTGACGCCTTTTATGTACTATTTGATTTTATTATTACGTTATTTTACTTAGATTATACATTATATATTTATGAACCGACTTTTATTTACAACATTCTTCAGCTCTGTAAGTGCTGTTAAAAGCCTTCTTTCGACCATGTTTATGGTCACTGCTAAGATCCTAGGAGGCGATGGCTTTCCTCACAAATTAGGCTATGCAAAAGATAGCCCACCATCAAGCACAAACACTACTTTCTATCGTTATAATCACCTATATTGAAGTAAACAACAATTTGTTCATATAAAGATTGTGGTCTCTGTTCAATAAGTTGTTTTTGGGGATTAATTCCTCAAATTAAAAAGAGATCCTGATAGAACGGAAACCACTGTCCGTCTGTCCGCCTTAACCAGTCTCGGAAATACTAAGTCAAAAATAGCGTGATTCGTAAGAAGCCACATCTACATCGGCACTTGAAAAAAACTTGCCATCTTTTATGGTGGGGAATAAAAAGAAGTCCCAAGGAGCTAAGTAGGGGCTGTAAAATGGGTGAGGTAGGGTTTCAATACCTGATTCTTGAATAAGCGAACGAGTAATCCAACGACAACAAAGCTTCCTCATTCTAAGATGTTCATGTAATATGGTGGTGTGCGTTACCCCAGCAAAATAATGTCGAAAATGGTCATTTAAACGTTATAGATAATTAGTTGCTCCCCTTCTGTAATTGTTAGGCACATTTTTAAATTTGTTTCACTTAAACTTTTTTAGTTATTTCAAAAAAAACATTTCCTGCTGGGGTAACGTTTGAAACGTTACCGCAGTCAAACATTTTCTTTTTTAATTGTAATATTCAAATGAATTTTAGCTAAATAATTAGTTATCTGGACTAGGTAAATGTTACAACTTATTTGGTATTTGTATTTTCTTCGGCTGCGAAGTTATTCGAGATCCTGCTGGAGTAACGTTTGTGGGTTTGCTGGATCTCTGAAACGGGTAAGCGGATTGTAACCATCTTTTGTACATAACTTCTTAAGGATTAGTTTTAATTTGTTCGACAATAAAATAACAAAAATAATGGACCGTTTAAAAATTATTTAGGTAAGTATGAAAACACTTCAATACGTCCTAACACTTTGAATAAGACCTCTAAAGACTTACTTCAAACGAATTTTCGTAAGTATACTGTAAGTGACTAAAAAGTTATGATGAAATGTAGCTCTCCACGTTCACGATCACAATGTGTGCGGCCTTTTTTGGCCACCGATAAACCTGTGTGTGGATATATAAAATGAATGTTATGCCAATAATTAGTTGTTTAGTTCAGTTGTCTACCTGTAAAATTTCAGCGTCGTACATATAATTATTTACGAGATAATTAAATAAAAGTCATTAGAAGGTGCAAGACCGTGGTAACCCGACCATGTTTAGGTGGTTACAAAAAAGCGATCACCCAGTAGGTACATTGTGCTGGCTTTTAAAATATGTAGGATATTATTTGCAAGTTTACTACGGATATGTACATAAGTGTTACAAAAAACTACATGTTTTTAAATTATTTTTATTTAGGATTGTTTATTGCATAATTAGTAATCAGCCGCGAGATTTGGTATTGTTTTGAATGCTTTTGTTTTCTCGTAATGTTTA